TCTTTATCAGAACGGATTTTACCCTGTTAGAAATCCAGCTGGTACCTACCTTTATGAAGCAGATATAGTGTCCTGCATTACAGTGTATAGTGTCCTGCAGTACAGCTGAAACCAGAATGCACAAGAACTGCATATAAAGCATAGATGAGCGGTTCTCCCATTGACTGGGACATATATGCTCGAAGATCCAAATATTCAGGGTATTTTACATCCTAAACACAGAACAGGAAGATTCAAAAATTACCCTGAAATACTTCATGGAACAGCCTGAGAAAAACCCCTCTAAAAACACAGGCTAGGATCACATGAATATAGTTTGGATTCATTTAAAAATACCTCTTCTCATAAACAACGTTTAATAATTTAAGCTGCAGAGAACTGTTTTCTGCAGAATTAGCTCTAAGAGTGAGGTGTATTCTTACGGTTACCATAAGCCACAGTTGTCAGACCGACTTCTCTTAGACTATCGTTAGTAGTTACGGCCTGCAAACACTCACAACTTTTAAATGGTGTTTCCTTTGGGAAATCTCCCATTCCAAGAAGATACTTTACGGCTGCAAATATACCTTGTTGATCTTTCCACCAGTAAAATCTGCAAATCTTTTCAGTGATATTGTCAGAACTTTGGAGGAGCGATGTATTGTGTACCTCTTGGAGGCAGGAACCATGTTTTTACACCTTAAAACCAAGCACAGATAAATGTTTAGCAGCATATTCTTTCCCCTCCCAAAAGCCAAACAAGTCCTCATCTCTTGCACGTGCTTATGAACCCGTACACTGCATTTCAGGTTTGTTAATAGAGAGAAGCTAACAGGATGTAAAAGGACAGCTCTACAAAACAGAGAGCCAAGCAAACACCTGAGCACGTATCCTAATGACAGAAAGGAAAGGCTTCCCAACAACTCAGCACAAGAACCGTGCAAGACATTCTTTAGTGAGCCAGCAGAGGCTGCTCGTGTTAATGACCACCGTTCACATTCACCGAGACCCAATCTCGCTTTGTTCCACGGCGAACGCTAGGACCTTCAGCAAGCTGATGTTGCCTCCCACCCCAAATTGTCGTCTGAGCTCCATGCTTCAGTTCACCACTACTTAGCGGACATCCCCTTTAACTTCGGGCCACAGGAATATTTTTCTGTGTGCAACCTCACACCTACGAAGGCTGACAAACCCCAGCGTAGACAACAGTAGGAATAAAAGTCTAACGTGACCTAGTGGCCGCAATTTTTCTATTTCCAAACATTCATGCGATACATTAAACGTGTTCTCTCGTATTAAGATGGAATTAGTGATAACCTTACTTGCTACACTTATAGCTATTTTCTCCGTCCAGTTGTTCAGGTTTCACAAATTGTTCTAGAGCCTTGGTGATAGATGTCACAGTCTGGATGAATAAGAAAGTAGAGCACTAAGTCACTGGAAATGCAAAATTTCCAACACTTCCTATAATTACTGTTTTTACAGCTTAAACCCATTGCAAACATGGAGAGCACCTAGATGGCTTCCACACAAGACCAAAGTCCAGCCCACTCCCATCCACTGCCAAGCTCTTTTCTTTTAGCACAAGCTCTTTCCTTTTAGCGGTGTATGTTTTTAAGTAAAATGACTTTATTGGGAAAGCTCTACAGGTCCTTACACAGCTCAACCCATAGTCACAAAACACCTTACCTTTATATCCAGAGTAATATCGAGGAACGGTTCGTACCTATCCGAAACGGCTTTGCAGTTCAAGCATTTTACTGGAATCAAAATACAGATGCTTAACACTGACTCTGCAAATTTAAATTCTTCATACGTATTACTCTAGTCACAGTATAAACTCCTTTACTACAGACAAAGAGACACAGACCAGTTCAAAGGACAGGAAGATTTTAACAAGTACCTCGGGATCGTAGATATCCTCCAAATATTTGATAAATAAGCGTGGTGGCTTGAGAAGATATGTCCAATCTGGAAAGAAATGGTAAACCAGGCCTCAGATGATGTACGACACAGTGTTAACTCTTCAAACGGTTATTACTAAGAACATTGATTTTAATGTAGTATAGTAAAGAAAGGAGCAGAAGGGGCTAGAGAACATTTAAAAGTTAATTTGTTTATGCTTACTTGGTGCTTCCATTCAAGCAAGCTTTCTGCAAAGCATCAACAGTGAAGGACAAGAATTCATGTGCATCCTCTTGACTGCCATAATGGAAATGTTTTCCTATTCCTAATAAATAAGAAGGTGGTTATATTTATCTCCTATAAAATGAAAGAAAACTCACGTTTCTCAAAGTATCAAAATCATTTCTTTGCATCAAATAGTGCTTTGAAAAGTTACCAAATGTATCAAAATAAAACCGTCTGAAATGACTTACTTTTAAGGCCATTGATAACAGATGTAGGTTTGATAGCATTATTAGAGCAACACAGGACCTGGTTAATGTGAGCTTCCAACGTACACATCATACAGAAGCCTTTTTCATGACCTGAAGAATGAAAGAAGCAACATAGTCTGGTCAAATATGCGTTGCTACAAAAAAAACCCAAATCCAACCCAAAGAATTAGTACTGTTTAAGCTATAGGCACAATGTCCACTCTTCATGTACATTCTCTTCTCCTAAGGTGTCAATATCCCAACTGTTTTGTGCCATTTTATTATGCAGACGATGTACAGAATCAAAATGATGATTAAGTCTGTGTTAAAATACATTTTCTGATGAGCACAACGACATGAATGTGAACTCCACAAGCTGCAGAATATATGAAAAAACATTATTAACATTGATGATGCAGCTCTAAGACAGAATGTGTGTTATTTTCAGCATACTGCTGGTAGGTGAGCTACCTGACACAGAGCTAAGAATCCTCTGCGAGAAAGGAAAGATGAAAGTAAAGTATGTATAAGCATTTCTGCCTTCCTTTTTGCAAGAGGGTTCTTAACTGGAAATACTTTTATATATGGTAAGAAACCACAGTTAAATTTCTAGGAATAAATACCAAGATGCCAGACCAAAAAGTATGTATGTATCTTTGTCAAAATAGGCTAGATGGATATGAGAAGAGGCTCGTATGCTTAAATCAGTCCAAGCATAGAATGGAAATGTGAAGAACACAAATTGAAAGGTTTAAAAAATACAAACATTTAATTAGAATCAAACCAGTCTAAATTTTAATACTGTCCCACACAAATTTCCATTTCAGGTCAGCAGAAATTAGCTCGTAGTGCTTTCTAGGGTGTGGGCTTTTTTATTGGGTCAATAGTGAACATGTCATTTATTGCAGTATTAGCACATTATGGTATCTAAGCTGTAAAGATGAAGAACCTATGATGCTAACATCCTAAATTTTATCACCTTTCTACCAGCAGGAAACACAAATGCCAAATGTTCATCAAATGCCTTACTTAATAATCTACATCATTGTGCACACGAAGCTAGAAATGGTCTTTACTTGCAATTTTACAATTATGCATTAAATGAACAAATGCACTTTATATGCTATTCTGAGCTTCCTGCTAAATAATCATGGAATCACAGAATCATTTAGGTTGGAAAAGACCACAAAGATCATGTTCAAAGACGGCTTCTACAGACAAACTGGGAAAGCCATGAGTTTTCTCCACAGAATCACTTGTTCTTTCACCTTTGGAGCTGTCCAACATATTTATACTAACGTTAGAAAGTACTCACATGACTTGGTGTGTTCAAGAGAAAGCATGTAATTGGCAAGAGGAGGCGTGTAAGTTAAACACTGCAGAGTAGAATTAAGGAAACATGTATTGCCCAGATTCTGAAGTCCAACTCCAACACTCAGTGTCTGTTGCCAATCCATACAAATTTTCTCAGGTGGAAAAAGAATTCTTTGTGGCGGGGCAATTCCATCGTTGACAACTGCAAGAAAATTAGATTTTGAAACATACGTGCTGCTTCTGTTTTAAAAAGGATGTTTACAAAGTCGCATTCTGCAGGAGCACCCAGAAGAACCAGGGCTGCTCCGCAACGCAAAAACACGTGAGGAACAGCTTGAACACTGCCACTTGAAGTTGCATGTCAACACACTGTTTGAATCGGAGTTTGTTCATCCGTTTCAAGTCTTCCAGTGCAAGACAAACTACCACTGTGATTTGAGTTACTTCTGCTGGGTTTTTTTTCTATCTACAGCCTTTAATCTGATTATTAATTCAATCATTGTGTTATTGGTTTTATTTGTTTTTTCCTTATTTTATCTTAAACCACAAACTTACACTTGTAATTCGATGGTAATAAATAGAAGAACTACGATGGGAAAATAAGCGAGTAACTGTCACAGTAGGTAAGCCTACAGACACCAGACCTCTTCCTGAGCAGTGTTAGCATTCAAAGACTTGTGAATAATGGAAGCCATATACACAAAGGTAAA